TTTGGAGGGAATGAATGGAAATGTTTCTTTTACTGTAGCGAATTAAAAAAATTTAAACGTTCACTGTATTTTTCAATCACACCTTGTATTATCCAATGGGGATGCAAAAGAGAATATAAGAGTAGACAAAAATGCAACGTTACCTGAGATGGGTGTGTTCTACTCTTTGTTCTTTATGGCAATGCTTGGAGGGCCTGGCAGGGGACGAGGGCCATGAAAATGTCAAACTTTGAGCTTTTGCATGCTTTTTTCCCCCGATCTACATATAATTGTCACTCTTTTAATAGATGAGGAACCTGGAATTCAGAGAGGCTCTACAGCACCCAAGATGGCCTGGGTACTGACAGTAGCAGAGACGAGATTTAAAGTTTAGTATGACCGCCATTAGAACTTAGCCTTCATCTACCATGCCACATTGGCCCAGCAAGTAGAAGAATGAAAGCCACAGAAGAGAAGACAAGGTCGAGCTTCTCAGTTTGTTCACAAAGGCATCGAATGCATTTTTCCCAGAGGTATTCAACTAGGCAATTTGATTCTTTAATGAAAGGGGTTGAAACAAGGAGAATTCCAAATTATTATGCATCAAAAAGTCTAAATATCTGAGCAAGCAGGCAAAATCATGGAACTCTGCACTTCACTGCGTACCTCAAAGGAAATAATCAAGCCCAGTATTACGCAGTGGCAAGAGTGATGTGCTAACTCGCTCAGGATTTCAAGATGTATACAGATGGCCGGAGAAGGCAGAAATCAGTGGATCATTGAAAGGCTTTATAAGGAACTGGAAGACTGAAGTAAAATTTTGCCAAATAAGAAGGGGAGAAAGATTATTCTTTGTACAAAGCTGGTATGAACAGTAGACAGAATTGAGTAGCTTTTATTATGAATTTCTCAAATACTAAAAGGACACGTCTTGAGGCAATATAATCCAAATTTTGAAATATGCTATTTATAGATCTAGTTTTACGAGCTCTTCAATTAATTAATTTTCTCCCCATCCTTGGGTACAGGAAAAGTGAGACACAGTAGCCAATTCTTCTCTGCCCATCTTGGTTAGAGATGAGTATGGGGTGTGTCTTGGGGAGCAGTGTGAGCCAGGTACAGGACCCTAACGTGGGGCTCTACTTCAGTGCACAGCTTCATGGAGGGCAGGCTGAACCCCCACCCCCAGTGCTTCCCTTCCCTGCAGATGCTGGGCTGTCACTGGGGTCACTGAATAAGAACACAACAAAGAGCGTATCCAAAACCAGAATGATGCCTCCCAAGAGCAGCCCTGTGCTGAAGCTACTCCAAAGAGGGGGCAGACAAGTGAGGACAGAGCTGTTTTTAGCCTGGGAGCTCCCTTTGCCCCTTTCCTCAATGGATGCTGGAAGCTAGGCGACTCGTTTCATTTTCAGAGCTGAGAACAATGAGTGTCAGTGCCAAGTGAAGCTAATCACAGGCAGAACTGGAATGAAAAGCAGCACTAAATGCCTTCATGCCCCCTTTGAGCATGAAGGGGACTTGGTATGAAACAAGACTGAGTTCTTATTTTTCTGAAACTCCTTCTGGAATACCCTCCAGCCTCAGAATACCATTGCTTGGATAGAATGATCTAGTGTAGGTAAAAGTGTTTTAGAAGTTGTAAATATCATTCTGCTGCCTGCCTCACAAGCTTAAGGTCCCGAGTTCAATCCCCAACACCAAAAAAAAAAAAAAAAAAATAGAAGTTGTAAATGTCATATGAAAGAAACCAATTATGTTATTAATTTTAGCATCTTTCATTCATTCTAATCGGATATGTAATAAGAATGATTTCCTAATTATAGTTAATATTTATGGAGCTCTTTAGGGAAAGGATTCTAATGGATTCACTAAGAGGATTTAATAAACACTAAAATGCATGGTCTGATGTAGCAAAAAAATTTTAGCATGGGGTGTGCAGAAGTACCAGGTACAAACTGGGATTATATGAGACAGTAGTGGATATGCTAAATGATTGAAGAAGTTAATGTTATGACTGCTCGTATTTCTCAAGAACAGAGATGGTGACAAGATGCAGTGATATTTCAGGTGAGAGAGTAAGATTTGTACATGTTGAATGCTTAGCTACTATTTCATTTGTCCCCATCTTAGCTGAGACCCAAATTCAGGACAATATTTATAAGTTGTACTTGCTTCTTAAAGACAGTGGCTAAACTTGGAAGTACATGGCTAAACCAACAGTGTGGGCAATCCACCCTACAGAGAACCCTGGCAATGTCTGAAGCTTTTTTTTTTGCCACAACAGGGTGGGAGCATTAGTGGCATCTAGTGGGTAGAAGTCATATATGCTTCTAAAACTTCTTATAATTCACAAGAAACTCTCTCTTTCTCCCCACCTTGACCAATGACTAGAGCCCAAAATGCCTACAATGCAGAAGTTCAGAAACCCTGGATTAAATAAATTTCTCAAAGACTTTCTAGGAAGTCCACAAAATTGTAGACACTAACCATTGGCCCATGAGCTACATCCAGCCTGGTTATAAAAGGAGCCAGGAAAATTCATCATCTTTGATTTATTTTGGGATAATAATTCTTCAGAAAGTTTTGATAAAACCACTATGGAGAGGCTCCTAGAAATGTTCTCTTCTACCAGAGAGGATGAGAAGACTTGGCTCTCCCTTTCCACAGCCAAAGGGAGTCCCAGACCTGCAACCAAATGGGTCCAGAGCAAAGCTCTGCAAGAGGGGTCACCTTTGTTGAGAGGATATGAAGACACTCAGGTGGAAAAGCCTATATGTGAAAGAAGTCATAGAAGACTGGCTAACAAGGGCCAATTCAATGAAATAATGTTGGTGAAACAAAAATCAAAAGACAAGACATAGACATCCTAAGATTTTCCAGGAGCCAATAAGATCACAAGGTGTGTAACACCTGCCTTGGTCCCTGGACTGATTACTGTGGAATCATACAGCTATGGGCAAAGCTCTGTGGACTGCTGACCTTCAGAAATGACTGATCTCTGTGCAGGGCCTCGGAGGCCATCGCTCCGCGGACACCTCAGGAGCCCTCTTCCCCTGCTGGCACTTTCTGCTCCTGTGTCCTGTTTCCGCAGCCCGCTTCTTGGGCTCACATCCTGGAGAGATGAGATGATATGACTTCCAATCTTCATCAGCTCTTCTCTTTGGCAATGTGCATAGGTTCCCCTATCTCTCAGATTGGTGGAAGGATGTTTAAAAAATAATATTTTATTTCTTGATAATTTTTGTTTTGCTGGAAACACCATTCCTGTGTTATTACTTGAAACTGAACAAATACAATTGAGGCAAGTGAAAGTATTTAATTCAATAACAGAATAAAAACATGTCTTCATTGTAGCGCGTCCTGGTAGGGCATTCGTTCACTCTCAAGTACTGATACACCATCACTCAGGTCTTTAAGGATGTGATATTTACTTGGAGAGATGAGAAGTTAAAAAAAAAAAGCAAAAGCCATAATAACATAAAAGCCTCCCTTAAGGTGATTTGGAGATAAGGAGCTATAACCATGAGGTCTATTAATTTCTGTCTGCTCGTCTTTGGTGCTCAATACAAAATGCATACAAACAGAAGAAACGAGGCCCCCCTGGGAACGTACTGTGCCACAGAGCCCACGAACGAACACACACCATTCAGAATATCTGCGACCACAATCTTTGCAATGTGGAGCTACCTCATCCAGCCCTCAGTGCTGCTGGGCCTCAGCACATTCTGCAGAACTTCCTGTGCTCTTGTGGTGATGCCTCAGTATCGGAGGAGCAAAGCGGAAAGGGGGCCTGATGGCTATCAATAGCATTGGCACAAATGCCAGTAACCACGCCCGCAGTTGTCTGTGTTGGCAGCATTTCCTGTTAATATCAGTTCCCGGTGAAAAACTACATAGGTTGAAACTGCCTGATTATCTTAGAAAGAAAGTGAGGTCCATGATTTCACTCCCCAGAGGTTTCCAGAAACAATGAACTTCCCAGGGTAAGGTCTGTTTCTGACCATTTTTCAGAGCTCTTATTACTAAAAGGAAAAGCCAGGAAAATCACTCATCTCCTCTGTTTTTGTTAAGTTGAATTAGCTAGAAATATGTGGGGTGTGATGCAGAAAGGAGCCTGGACTAGGACTGAGCTAGTGATCAAATGAAATGCCAACATTTGACATTGCTCTCTTGAGGTACACAGGTCAGGTGAGAGAAGATGGTTTAGGAATACATAGTCATCAGATTTTTGCACCCCATCTTAGCCAAAAAGCTGAGAAGCGATGTCATCAGATTTTTATTCTTTCCCGTCAACCATGTATCCTCTGGCTCTTCCTCAAACTAAAAGCTAAACTATGAGACTTAACACCCACAGAAAGAGGTGGTGGATGCATCCCAAACAAACTTACTGTTTATGTTAATGTTCACATTTGAGGCTAGAGAAGCTGGTTGAGTTGAAAATATAAAGTGCTTTCTGAATTCTAAATGTATTATGTATTTTTGCACTTGCAATCCTGGCAAAGTAGAGACACACACTTCACCAGAGAGGCTGAATACAAAGGCTTGGGGACTGAAATCAGGGTAGTAAGGATCACCCAGTGAGAAGCACAGCACTTCTGGGTGGGAACTGTCCGGAGATGACAGGGACCAAAGGGACACAGAAATGAGTGAAGGGCCTTCCTGGGGGCTGCTTCCCTAGAGGAATAGAAACTCCAGTTCACCCGAATATTCTAACGGAAGTTCTGAAATCCATATCATGCTTCTGGAACATGGACAGAGACAGGTATATAGACACAGTGTTTGCAAAGAAGAGTCCAATCTAGAGGTGCTGAGCTTGTTGGGGAAAAAGGCCTATGATGTGGGTGAGCAGCTGAGGTGGGATCTTTGAATCGTACGGACCTGGGTAGGGCCAGGAATAGTAGGCACAGTAGAGGCCAAACGACAGAGAGCAGAGGACCAAGAAATGGAGGGTGCTGTGAGTGCAGGGGGAGCATGCAGACAGCCACCAGGACTCTCCTGCACACTCTTCCCTGTAGTACCTGTCTCAGATGCTAGTCGTGCTGATTTCCTGCAGATCAGGGCTTCTTTCTGAAAATTGTGGAAACAGGTGGAGTGAATCAGGGAGCTCTCTTGCTTTGTCCTGAGAGCCACAAGAAGTGTGAGGACAGACTGAGTCCAGGGAGTTGCAGTGAAGCAGGACACTCGTGGTCCTTGAGAGGGTGACTCCAAGGTCCAGGTGCTGCGTGGGATGAATTGGGAAGAACGCGATTGGTGCTAGAACAGAACTGTCACATCAGTAGTGACCTCTGCCCGGTATGTCTGACACTCCCAGGACCCGCTTGATACCTGGCCCATAGCAGAACCTCAATGAACATTTATTGGAAGATACAAATCTTTACTGTTTGCAATAATAAGAAAAATAATTTATGTCTTTCTTACTTCATGTCTTTGTCCGCAACAAATTATAAAGGGGAAAATATGTGCGTGGAAAGGCATCTCCCTTTCTTATTTTCTACTTTGGAACCCTGTCACGCAGTGAGGGAATTTCTCACCACGTGATTCTGGGTGAAAGAATGAATGCCCCTACGAAGACTCAAAGGAAAGATGACAAATACCCTTTTATCCTCCTTATTTTAGGTAGTGAGGAAGAGAGAATTCCACAAGTGAGACACACTCCCCTCAGAATCTACCCACTCTCCCCTTCCGCACAACACACACTCAGCTGCTTAATTGACTGGGTCAGGGAGGAGCTTGCCTGGTAGCCATGGCCACACAGAGTCGCTGCTGAGGTGCAGGGAGCCATGGATGTCCCTGTGGTAGCAGCAGCTGGGCTCAGGCTGATGGCCACACACCGCCTCAGGCAGTGGAATCCCTCTGTGTCCCCCTCTTCCTCCCTCCCACACACAGGACACACACACAGGTGAGAGGGTGGACAGAGCCCTTCCAGGGCTGACCATGCCAGGGTTCTCGTGGTCTGCTGCAACAACCTCCGTCCCACCTCCTCACCATTTATTTTCCCAGTGTCGAGCACCTAGAAATCCTATTTAATGGAAATGAGGAAAACAGAGAAGCTGCCCTAGAAGGAAAAGACAGCCACCTGACCCAGCCTCTCCATCTCCTCTCTCCTTGAAGGACCCAGCCCAGGCTGTGTCACACCTGCCCCACAGAGGTGGCCCAGAGCTGGACACGATCTTGAGGAACGACTGGCAGGGGCTAAAGAGATCTGATGCAGCCTGGTTTCAGAGAAAACCACATGGAAATAATGAAACACAAGTGAAGAAGCTTAAGAGAAAAAATAAGTTTGGGAAAATGTAGTCTCCTATGTGGGAAAATGAAATCTAACATTTGTCAGGTCACTCTTGACCTACCTGGATCGTTTCTTGAGAACACTCCCAGAAACGTTTCAAGAAGGAAGCCTGTGAGAAAGTGAGAAAGTGGACAGGAGGCTAGAGGGATTTGAAAAGAAAAGATGATGAAGTAGTAATAAGAATATTAACTAAATAACGAACATTTGTTATATGTCAGCAACTACACTGAACTTGGTATTTAATCTTCATAAAATTCTGACACAGGCATTACTGGATTTGAGGCATAAAGAGGTGAAAAATGTTGCCCAGGGTCAGGTAGTTCCTAGGCAACACAAAGTGGATAATTGCAGACATTAAGATGCTTCCGTGTTGTGGGAAGTCACTCAGAATAGAAGGTAAACTGAATGAAGAAAAAGTCAAAGCTGTATACAGAAAAATATGTTTTCAGTCCATCAAAAAGAAATAACATCTATGTGCCTGCAAAGAAAATCTCTAAAAGTGGACACACCATAATAGTAATAGCTGTTGTGCTTCTTCATATGATTGTGGCTTCTTATGATTCATATGATTCCTTATCCTGCTTTTCTGAGTTTTTAAATAAGATTTGTAGACCTTTATTACCATATATTTAGGATACATAATGATTACACGTATCTTGGGAAATTGGTATTATTTATATCACATCGTATTCCTTTTTAATTTCCATCCAGGTCCTCCCTCACCCACCTCTGCTCCTTTCTTTTGAGCATTAGGTACAGGAAAGTTCTGCTTCTCAACTGTGTGAATGTGGTGCCCTTCTCTATACCTCAGAATCCTCATCTATAAAAATGCAACTACAGATGTTTATAAAGTGTGATTGTTGTTAAGATTTAAAGTTCAAGAACATTTAAAATAAATTTTAAAATGACAGATACATACTAATATTTTCTATTTTGAAAGTTAATGTGAATGAAACTGGCAATATGTGAAAACTGAAAAGAGTAGCTGCCACATTTTTCTGCTTTAAATAGGCATCTTCCTGACCCTCTGACATTCATGCAAAGAACCCTACAGTGACTACAGCTCTCTCTTGAGATGTGCAGGATGGACTGGAGATGCCCTTGAGAGGCTGCAGGGCCCAATCTCCCCACCCACCACTTCCTTCTTCTGTCCATTTCCGGCCATACCCTCCTGTCTCTGCCTGAGGGTCCAACCACCAGCTTCCCACTTTCTGCCTTCTCCCTGGAGACACAGCCTGATATTGAGGATGTTACTGCTGCAAGCAGCCACCTTTTTCTCCTTCTGGGCTTGTGAGTCACTCTCCGCACGTTTTGGTCCCATTTTGTGATCAAAGTATTGCTTCCATGATCCCTTGTTATATTTTCAGAAGTTCACTGACAGTTGTCCTCTTTTACTTACAGTTGGGCTCGGAGTGCAGAAGATGGAGCAGTCCCAGATTTCCATTTCTACTGAAGAAAATAAAAGGGTTGACATCCCTTGCAAGGTATCAGCTGGCCGTTTTGAAAATAGAGCCATTCACTGGTACCTGCAGAAACAGGATCAGGCTTTGGAGCATCTGATTCAAGTGATCTCAACGACAACCTCAGCTCAAGGACAAAACAACAGAGTTTCAGCAAAGAAAGATTCTGCAACTCGGTTCTCAATCCTTACTATCAAATTTGTAACCAAAGAAGATATGGCCGTTTACTACTGTGCAATGTGGTTCTCACGGTATCTGGATTGTGGAGAGGACCCACAGAAGATCCCCTCTCTGGATCTGTGCCCACCCACATCCTTCCCAACACAGCCAGCTCCCAGCTGGCCTCTCAGCCTCCAGCTCCTCTTTGCAGCTCCCCTGGGCTTTACAGGAAGCCACCATGCTTGCTGCTGTCTCCTGAGTCCCAGCTGACCCTAGCATGTGGTTCCAGATTTCCATCTGATGTTACTCCCTACTGAATTCCAATCCATCCTATGGGCTGAGAGACACAGGCTGTGCCACTGGCACATCAGCATCCGGAGATGCTGGGTAAAGTGGCCAGGGGCAGCATAGGGGGAATCATGGCAGCCAATGTTATCATGTACAATGAACACATTCACATGCAATACCTTTCTGAAATAATTCCCTCCTGTCCAGGGTACAATCAAAGACAATGATGCTTAGAGAACTGAAGCCTGGTGAATAATGCAAGACAAGAATTTATGCCTTTTCAATTGGACTGTGGGGCCACTCTGAATAGTTCCAGGATTGTGGGTCTGTGAGTGCTAGGCTGTCTGTGCCACAGTGGGGATGGGACAGGTGCTATTTCTGTGGGAGGTAAAGGGAAGAGGAATCTTCCAGCATGATGCCATCAGAATAGACCTGGAGCCCCTATGTTATCTCATGAATCCACAGCCATGAATACCCTTTGATCCTGACTGTGTAGGAAGGTGAACCTGGCCAGATCAAAAAGAGCTCACATTGCCTGCGTGTGACTTCCTGATAGTGTGTCCATTCTTTTCCTGCATAATGTACTTTAGCCTTCACTACCCATAAGGTTTACTCTGGTACTACCCTCCAGTGTGTCTGAGTCAGGAGATAAAGGAAGCATTAAGCTATTTGGACCCATGTCCAAGTCACACAGCTGGTTTAGTTTGGTATTTTTTGACTACTACGTGAAAGGGTTTCTTTATCACAGTGGATGCAAAGATAGGTCTCAGTTCCCCATCACATAGAGACATGGAACCATCATTAACTCTTGCAAAAGATTGCTTTGTGCTGAAGCATCAGCCCTGGATTCAACTGATTTTCTTTATAGAATGAATGAAAGGTAATCAATTTCCAATTAACTTTCAATAGAAACACAATTATTTTTCCTTTTAAAATTTATGCATTTGTATTCTCTTCCTTTGAAACAGGATATCATTATGCAGCTCAGGCTGACCTCAAACTAGCTATGTAAACAAAGCTGGATTTAAACTCTAAACTCTTCTGCCTCAGCTTCCCAAGTGCCGGGATTACAGGTGTGTACCGCCTACAACACTCAGCCTTATCCCATCCCTGGGGTTGTTTTCTATTTTTATTAATAATGTTTACGCTATTTTTCTAGAAAAAAGCATATATATCACTCTGGAAATCTATACATACTGTTCACCTTGATTGAACATTTCCAAAATAGCACCAACATTTTCTTTCTTGCTCTCCACTATTTGAAGAATACAGAAGGATTTGAGGGCAAGGCAGACAATGGAACTTGAATTAGATGCAAGACATAGCTCTTTCATTCCACAGTGGAAGGAAGTCCCCGAGCCCTGCAACCACATGGATCCAGAGCAGAGCCCTGCATGAGGAGTCACCTGTATTGAGAGGACACGATCATGCTCACCTGGAAAAGCCCACAGGTGCAGGAAGCCATAGTAGACTGGGTAACAATGACCAACTCTCTTAAATTAATACAACTATGTTAATGAAACAAAACTCGTAAGATATAGACATCCTCAGAGTTTTTAGGAGCCAATAAGATCACAAGGTGTGTAATATTTGCCTTCATTGATGGACTAATGGGTTCATAGAGCTATGGGCAAAGCTCTGAGTGCTGATGATATTCAGAAATGATTGATCTTTGCACAGGGCCTCAGAGACCATCTCTCTGCAGACACCTCACGAGTCCCTCCCCCTGCTGGAATTTTCTACTCTAGTTTCCTGTTTCCTCAACCTTCTTCTTGGGCTCACATCCCGGGGGGATCAGATGAAATAACTCCCAATATTCATCTGATCTTCTCTTCAGGAATGTGCATAGTTTTCCCTGTTTCTCAATTTGGTGAAAGGATATTGAAAAAATACTATTTTATTTCTTGATAATTTTAGTTTTATGGGAAACACCATTCCTTTGTTTCTAAGTGCATTTGAAGAAATACAACTGAAGCATGTGAAAGGATTCATTCAATTACAGAACAAAAACATATATTTTCATGGTAGGGCATCCCAGTAGGGCATTCATTCACACTCAAGTTGTTACACACCATCACTCAGGCATTTGAGGATCTGATATTTACTTGAGGAAATCATAAAATAACAAGAAAAAGCCAAAATAATAAAAAAAAATCTTTAAAGTCATTAGCTGATAAAGAATTATAACCATACGGTCTATAAAGCTTTGGCTGTTCCTCTCATGCTTAATACAAAGTACATAGAAACGAAGAAACAAGGTCCCTTAATACATTGACCCTTGGGAACCTATTGTGTCACAGAGCCCACTAACAAACACACGTCACTCAGAATGCCTGTGACAGCATCCTTCCCACTGTGGAGCTACCTGGTCCAGACCTCAGCCTTGTGGGGCCTCAGCACAGCCTGCCGCACTTCCTGTGCTCCTCAGGGTGATGCTTCAGTATGAAAACAACTCTGAAAGAGGCCTGCTGTCTATCAGTAGCACTGCCACAAGTCCCAGTAACTACATCCCCACATCTCTGCTTTGCCCACATTTTCCATTAACTTCAGTTTCCAGCATGAAACAACATATGTTGCGACTGCTCTATTATCTTAGAAGGTGAGGTCTGTGATTTTACTTTCCAGAGATTTCTGGAAACAGTGAACTGCCCGGGACAGAGGCACTGGGAAGGACAGGATGAAACTCACATCCATTCAGCTCCCATTCAGTGGCAAATAAGTGCTAGAAGTTCCATGTTCTCCGCATCTCAGGGGACCATCATAAACCCTGCAAACAAACTTGTGCCTGGAACAAAGAGCTGATGCTTAGAGAGGGTCAGATACCTGTTCGTAGAAAAGATTCAGGACATTTGAAGACCAGCACTCTTGGGCCCTTTTAAGACTCTCCCGTTTTATTGACTTCATAAGAATGGATTGTGATAGTTTGGGGGTAAATACGGGCTAAGCAGAGCCTGGTCAGACCACAATGAGCCGGTATCAAACAGCCTTGGCCAGGCTGGGCGTGGTGACACATGCCTGTCATCCCAAAACTCTCGGATCTTAGTCATGAGGACTGCAAATTGGGGCTCAGCCTGGGACCTAGGCAGACACAGCTACAATAATAAGAGCTGCAGGAGGAGCTCAGTGCAGACAACCTGGATTAAATCCTCTGTACTAGAAAAAAAAAAAAAAAAAAAAAAAAA